AAAAACAATGAAATCACTCTGAAGGAAGCTAACCTTGTTTGTAAATGTCCTATGCTTTGTCAGCATGACTTGAGGGATTCTTATATTGTGAGAATGAGGGTAACTTGTTCTGAGGTTTGTGTGAAGGGGTTGCTGTCTTTGGAGCCTGTTTGCAGATCGTTGGCTGGACACACGTGGGCAGCTTTAGCAAGTTGCTTACTATCTCTGCAAAATGGGGACATCTGTTCTTCCACCCTTTGTCTTCCTTCTTCAGTTAGGTCATAAGCTGTTCTGGCTGAACAAATTCCTACTGTGCAGAGGTACAGCATGTAGCACAGAGACCCTGACTGGAGGATCCCGGGGCTACATTCCTGCAAATAATGAATCATTTCACTGAGTTACCAATGCATGGTGCTGGGATCCAGGCTCTGCTGCTTCCTGTCCAGGGATGCTCTCTGCTGACTGGTTGATTCGACCAGGGCCACATCACTTCAGTGTTTACATTGGAGCCTGAAGCTGCAGTCAGTTGGTGGTGCTGGTGCTGAAGGGTGATCCAAGCTCCATTGCCTGGGGTGAGGGTGACTGGAGAATGGTCACTTTGACATGGTGGTTTCTGAGCAGCTGCTGCAATGTCTGTGAAGGCGCATTGAGGTTCTTGCCTGTTGGCATGTTTTGTTCCATATCGCTAGGCCTGGTCCCGAGGAAGAAAAGCCTCATCCTCCAGAGCCCGGCCAGTCCTGTGGACAGAAGACACTTCTCTGCCTTCACGTTGTGCCTGTTGAAGCCTCTCTCCAATGAAGGTGCTTGCTGGTTTGTAGGACACCGCTTCCCTACTTTGTTGTGGGTGCAGGCTGAGTCCCACCTTGAACAGACTGGAGCTCTTCAGACAGCCTTGCTGCCTCCAGAGCCTCCTCCCCCGCTGAATCAGCAACCTTCCTGCAGTTTGTGGCAGGTCTCCCTGTAGTTTGTGGCTTCTACAAGGTGACTCAGAGAGGGGCTCGTCTTCTAAAGTGGCATCCTCAAACCTGGCACCTAGGCTGCTTTCTCAAATTAAACAGAGCCCTCTTTGCTCACAGCCGAGCAGCCCTAGGGGGGTGGGCCCATGTTCCTGTCTCCCTCTGTCCTGAAGCTGTTTTCATTTGTTTTTTTTCAAACAGCATTGTACGATTACCCAGGGGAGGCTCTCAGCTGTGTTTTTCTTGGGATACACGAAATAAAATGTCTGACTCAGGCTCACGTGGTCACCACAAGCTTGGCAGTAACGCATCCCCCGTCAGCCCCTTTAGGTTCTGGTTAATGAACTGCCTGCAGATACCAGAAAGCTCTTTGACTCCGGGAATAGTTCTACAGAGAGCTAAGCCAAGGGGAGCAAAGGTCACACAATGCATCGTTTTCCTTCTTCCTTTGCCTCCTGCAGCTGGTGTGACAGAGCCTCTCTGTGGAGGATGACTGCAGCGTTGACCGAGTAGCCAGGCCCCATGCAGCAGAGAGGCAGGTCATCTACAGAGCCATAATGAGCGAGTCCTTCGAGGCACAGACCACCTGGCTCATGCTAGGGCGCGCTGTGCTCTGGGGACAATCCTGTTGGGTTTGGTGGGATTGTTTGGAGGCACTGGGTGATTCTTTGGGCAGCTGTTGCAGCTCAGTGTGGGAGAGGTGGCCAGGCTCTTAAGAGCACCCAGGGCTACAGGTCCTCCCCATCACTGAGTAGCACCACACACGCACAATGTGACGGATTGACCCTACCAATACCTGCCTGACGTGATATGGGTAATATTGGTGCTAAGCTGTTCTCTGGGTTTTGGGACCTTCTGGCTTAGCTGCTGTTTGGTGGCAGTTTGGAGGGAAAGGGCAGGGTGCAAAGATGGAGCTTAGCTGAAAAGACTCTCAGAGAAAGAGTCCTGAGTGCACAGGGTTGCAGGGACCATTCTGAGCATGGCAGGTGACATGGGAAAGGACAAGAGGTTCCTGGAGGGTCCCAGGCAGGAGGGACAGTGAACAGGGGGCTAACTAGTTCAAGCAAGCTCCTGCTTCCATCATCTGCTCAGAGCTTAGGCCTGGGTTTTGCTGCAAAACTACCAAGAACCGAAAAAGCCCTGTGGTGCATTGCTGTAGGAACGAGCAGCCCATGCCCGTGGCTGTGCTGTTCGCACTGGAGCCAGGCTCTGCCTGTTTAATCAATCAAAGTAAAATGGGGATCAGAAGGGCTTAATTCCAGCTGGGATCCTTTCCCCGCTGACAGTGACGGGTCAATGAAAAGTAGCCCTGTCCTGTATAAGAGACACTGAAACCTGGCAGTGAGAGCCATGCTGATCTGTGTGTTCATGTCACCTTTAATGTTTCTGGGGACAAGCGTGGGCTTGCCAACCCCTCAGGCATTGGTGGCAATCCACAGTCAAGCGTACACACTTACACGCATGCACATGGGGAGTGTAGGAATGTTCCAGTATCTACAGAAGTACAAAAATAATCTTTCACAAATCTATAGAAAATACATGTGTCTGGACATAGGGCCCATCGGGGAAGTGAATGGTATCATAGCGTGTCTGTGCCTCTACAGCTCCTAGGCAGAAGCAGCACATGCCTGGCAGTGCCCGCTGTGGGTAAGGCAGCTCCCTCTGCGGGAGGCTCTTGCTGGGCCCTGTGCACTGCCAAGGCCTGGGGATGGGTGCAAAGAGGCGAATTCTTCGGTTGCAGGCTTGGTGTGTGATCACTCTCTGCTGCTTAATGTGAGATCATGAACTTTACCTGACACACGCTTTGGACCCAGAAGGACAACTCCTTTGCACCCTGCCTGCCAAGCTCATTGCATCCTTGAGCACACCCTGAGGAGGTGGAGCAATGGCCAAACAGCCTCACAAGAGTGTGGTGGTAGGTGTGAGGTGTAGCCCATGCCTCATGGCAGGGAGGGGAGGGTCAGACATGATGTGGCCACGTGCTGCACACAACACATGCACTGGTGCTTCTCTGTACACACGCTGGTGCACAGCGCAAGTGCTGCTTCCTACTCTGAAGGAAGGAGATAGTTGCTCCGAGGAGCCAGACCTGTCCCCTCTGCCTTGGTGCTCTGCCATTCTCAGTGCAGCATCACCTCCCAGGGGCTGCAGGGCCTCCTGCCAGATGCTGGGGTTTGCTGCAGGGGTTTGTGTGTCTTGTATTGTGCCTTGGTGCAAAGTAACAGGGATACCCTAAACTCCTAATAGTCCCAAATGAGGAAAGAGAAAGTACCTAGCAAGAGTGTTTCTCACACTCTGCGCTGCTGTGCGCCTGCCTCTTGGGCAGACGTGGGCCTCTAGACGGCAGCTTCTGGTGGTGCCCTAAGCACTTGGAGAGTGGGGGCATGACCAGAGGGTTCAGATAGTCCACCATCTCCCTTAGGAGTTCATGTTGTCCTGGATCCAGCCAAGGTAACGAGTGACGTTGGTATAAACACCTGGCATATTTTTGCTCCCACAGCCAATTCCCCAGCTTATGATGCCAATCAGATGCATGCGATCATCCTTCATGCAGACCAGAGGCCCTCCAGAGTCACCCTGCAGGGAGAAAGCAGGTTAGTAAGAAGCACCTTTGCTGTTTCTCTTTGACTGGTGTAAGGCTACAGGGATTGTGACACTGTCTCATAGTAAGTATCCTGTGTGGGTCCATCCTATTTCCTGTGCACTGCCAAGGCGAGGGGTCATGTGGGGCCTTGTCTTCAAAGGGGCCCAGCTTCAAGTGCAGCCAGTGACAATCCTTTCAAAACCAAGCTGTGGTGTGCCAGGCAGGCTCCCTGGGCCCCTCTGTGACCAGGAGGGAAAGGATGAGACGCTAAAGGACTTTCTCAGGCCAGCGCTTCCAGAATCCTCATTGCTCTTCCAACCCGATAGGATAAAGGGTGCAATTTAATGGCAAGAACAGGTTTTTCAGGAGCTGTGGAAGCTGGCGAGGCTGTTAGGACCTAAATCTACTTCCATCCCAACTACCCAGAACTGTTCTTCCCTTTTTCCGCACCTACTTGCTATCGGACACCCCTTGTGAGGCCCTCATGGTATTCTCCTCTGACAGAATCATGGGAAACCCTGCATCAGGTGGGGTTTCCTGCCCAGTTATCAGTGATGTTTCTACTGTTTGGATTTCAATACCCATTGTCCTCGGTTTGTTTGGGCAAGTGTGACCTTTCTTCCCAGCCACTGGGAAGCTTGTGGCTTTGAAGAGAATCTGATGCAGGGCTGCTTTGTCCTGGCTTCCCTGCATCATCTCTGTGTTGTTAACTGGACGCTTCATGGAGGACTTGAAAGAAAAAGACAGGGCTCTGGCAGGCTTACCTGGCAGGCATCATCCAGCTGCCTGGTGTCCCCTGCACACAGCATGTTTTTGGTGATTGTCCGGTTCTCAAGGTGCTGCGATGTGCACTGGCTGGCTGGGAACAGGCGGACGTGACCTTCCTTCAGGCGCTTGGAGTAGAAGGCAGAATCTGCAAGAGAAATGGATGCACATGTGAGCTTTGTGACTCACCTCTGCTCTGTGGATAGTTCTAGGTGGGTAGGGGACAGGGAGGCTGTGAATGGAGATGCAGAACAGTTACTTTTCCTATTCCCCTGCTTGCCATTACTGTTCTTGAAACCCCTGGGGTTCCCGTGTCATCAGCTATCAACTTTGGGTCTGTCTGGGAGTAGACACTACTCCTCTCGGCTGACGCTATTGTCCCAAATTGCTTCCACTAACAGGCTTCCTGGGCCTTTATGGAAGCTGGAAATGGAGCCTCTCATGGGCTTCACAGGCATAGATTCATAGATTGTAGAGTTGGAAGGGACCACAATGGATCATCATGTCTGACCCCTGCCCCTGGCAGGAAAGAGGACCGAGGTCAGACAACCCCAGCCAGGTGACTGTCAAACCTCTTGAGGACCTCCAAGTTAGGTGATAGTATTACCTCTCTTAGAAGCCCATTCCAGATTCTAGCCACCCTTCCTGTAAAAAAAAAAAAAATTCTTCCCAATGTCTAACCTAAATTAACAGCCCAAACTTGTTTTTGATAGAAAAATTGAATTGTATAAAGCTGGGACGGGGTTGCTGGGGACGAATCATGAGCTGTTTGACGGGTTATGGCTTTCTGGGATTAGGCTTGCTCTAACCGAAACCAGATGCCCTCTTTGTGTACACACAGCCTCAGTGGTACAGCATGGTGTGTAAAGGGATTGGAATGCATAAGTTCCTGTATGTTATGGCTACGCTGAATGCAGAGAGGGCAGAGCTTTTCTTTTGAGGTGGCTGGGATCTAGTTCAGTTGGAGCTGGACTTGCACAAGGGGTGGAAGAATTATTGTTTTTAATCCATGGAGTAATTTTCAATTGTAAACTCTTCGCTGCAAACAGCTCCACCAGAACATGCTCCGAGTTCTGCAGGAAGCTGATTCTCAATGGCGATTACTCCTGTTTGTTTTACAAGCACAATGGTACATTTAGTTTCCAAGTATGTTATTACAGTAGCTTAAAAAGGCTCCCGATAGTTGGTACGAAGCCTCCATTGTGCTGGGTTCTGCACAAACAAACAGAGAGTTCCTGCCTCAAACACCTTGCACTTCAAAGACCAGATGAAAAAGGTGGGTGTATCAAGAGACAGGAAGGAGTGAGGAGAAGGGAAGTAGTGGGAAAAACTTGTTCGTATACAAGCCAACTCAAAGGTACACCCAGTAGGAGAAGGCTTCTTAGCTGCATTTAAATATAGTCATTAGAAAATCCTCCAGCTGAGCTTTTAGCTGGCATCGAGATATCTGCTATTGCTGGTCTGCTGTTTGCTAGGCATTGCTCAGGTAACAGACCTTTCAGGAGTGTACTGGTTTTGTGCACTGTGCTCTGCAGCACCCCTGTGCAGAAGAGTTCATTCCCTCACAGGAACTGTGCAAGGGAGCCCTAGATGTAGAAGAGAATTTGGAGTCACGGCTGTTGCCTTCTGCCCAACTGCTCCCTCATGCCAGGGTCCTACTCTTCCCTGCGCATTAAGGTTTCAGATGAGAGAGGATTCTGTACCGTGTGCAGAGGGAATGGAGTGGAGAGTACAGGGCAAGCTTGGCAGAACTGGGCCATGCAAGTTGTAATGCTGATTTATAGCCCATCAACCCTGGGGCTGTCGTGACCTCCCCGTGCTGATGTCTGAGAACCCCATGGAACAGTACCCTGCACAGGGAGCATCCTCTGCTTACATGACTCATGCTTCCCATAGCCGGAGATCTCGCACTCTGTCCAGTCAGGCAGCTGCAGCCCTGGCTCCGGGAGGCAGGCTGTGCGGACAGTATCTGTTTCAGTAGTACACTTTTCTGACTCGGACATCAGCTGCAGCAGAGCTGGAGGGGGAGAAAGTGTGTGAGAGAGAAGAAGTTGGGGGCTGGTGGTGCTGTTTGGCCTGAGGGACAGGAGTTCTCACCAATGTCGTTGTCATAGGTCTCTGGGTCAAATTGGTTGTGCACAATGTATTTCTCCACCTGGAATTGCTGCTCATTCTTCCCAGGCTTCACTCGATAAGTCCTGCCCAGAATGACTTTCAGCTGATGAGCCTGATACCTGAAGAGGGAGAGAGCTTTAGTCGCCCTCCTCTGAAAGAGGTGATCCTTCCCTTGAAGGTGCTGCTGCCTCCGTTCCTGTAGCCTTATTGTAACTTAATTACCTGGGGAGTCTGGACTTACTTCCAGAGACATCTCCTCTCCTTCACTTATAACACTGCAAGCCTCCACAGGAGC